CACAGAAACAAACCATGCTTAAAAGCTGAAATTAAGTTGAATGTCTGTTTCACCTTTTAGCTGTTGGTTTGTCTGTACTGAAAATGTGTTGTGGCGTATCTCACCTGCACCACTTTCCCCTGTGGGCTTTCAGAGAAGACCAAGACCTGGTTGTAGAGGGGATCCAGGCTCTTCCTCACTGACTTAGTCTTCTTCTTGGCCACACAGATCCCATTCTCCAGGAGGTAAACTTTGATGTAGGCAGCTGGAACGACAGCGGGCAGAAAAACCTGAACTCAGTGAACTCAGAGCACTCAGCAGACTACAGTACAGCAATCTAAAACAAAGTGGCAGATTACAGTAAGATGACAAAGTAGAGCGGAGAAAAGACTTCAACCTGAGAAGCAAGGGTCATGTGACAAGCTGCTGTCTTACACTAATACATCAGTGAAGCACATGAAAATGTCTAATTAGTGTCAAAATTTCATGCATAACCTCTAGGCAATTAGATTCTGAAAACCACATTAATGGATCACTTCTATATAAATTACCTTTCTGTACTTCAATTCTAATAACACAGATTTTTCCCTTAAATGCTAAGGCTGGAGATTTTGTACTGTATGTGTTTTTTTCATGTTATTTTTATGCATCCCACACAGAGACTAAAACCACCAATGGATTTCATGTCTGCAAATCTAGAACCTCACACAGCCATCTTTGCAAAACAAAGCAAAAACATTCAGCCAATATTTTTACTAGTTTGCTAGCAGATTAGCTCACTAGGGGTAAAGCCCAGCAGTCATGTGACTCACAAAAATAAATAACACACAGATTCATTTCCTGGAGACTTACCCTAACCTTAACCATAACCACTACTTGTCTAACCCAGAGTCCTGCAAGGGTCCAAGTTCGCAGACCCTCTCCCACAAAACTTTGTATTGGACCCCACCTGTTACCTGCAGTTATCCCTAAATAAAATCCAGACCCACTCTGATGCATGCCTGTAATCAAAATAGACTGCAAGCTACACAGTCACTCACTTTATAAAAGGTGCTTGAGAGCTATACTCTTGGAAAAGTATGTGTTGATGCACTCAGCACCTGGGCTCCTGCAACTATTCCCTTAGTGGCCAAGTGCTTAGCTTGCAGCTATCAAATCCAAACACCTTTTGACTTTTTTTGCAAGTAGCAAAGCTGCTGATTACATTGTTCTCACAGTCTGTAATCGCACTGAATTTCTTCTATACATCTGACTTGGCCTTTGATGAAATACTGTCTACCATTTTGTGTTCACCACTAGCTATTTCAACTGTTTTCCAGTTTGTTCCACTGACGTCTGAGTGACTATTAGCCGGGCATGAGTCAATGGGTCAAAGGTTGTGGTACAGGCCTTATTTAGGCTTGATAAATTATGTTGGATTACATGTTTAAAAGAAGCTGCACCTTTATTTACAGTATGTATTTTTAGACATTTTAATTATGTTTATTTCACCTGATAATCTATTTTTACCCATGACATGTTAATTATTGTAAACATATTTTTCGCCAATTACACATCATTTTTGAGGGTTACCTGCCCTGGTGCAGGACTCTGGCCTAACACCTAACCCCTAAACCCAACCTTAAACTAAGTCATCTCCCCAAAATTCAATGATTTACTTAGTTGGGACCAACATCTGGTCCCCACAAGGAAAGTGAGTTCCCACAGTGTTAGTAGCGTCCCTCGCCCTGTTTTCATTGTTTATTGCTTTGTTTATACTGTTTATTTTGTTATACTATACAGCCTTTTATTGGTATACTGTTTACTTGCCCTTTGCTATTGTCTTACATAAGAACATGTACATACACATCGAGAGCAGCTGTACCAGAGTCAAATTCCTTGTGTCCAACACACCTGGCCAATAAAGCTGATTCTGATTCTAATACCGTCCACATCATAAAATTATACTTTAACTCATGTGATTAACCAACTAGTTGTTTGTTTATTACACCTTATACAGAGCTACAGTGGGTATGGAAAGTATTCAGACCCCTTAAATTTTTCACTCTTTGTTATATTGCAGCCATATGCTAAAATCATTTAAGTTCATTTTTTCCTCATTAATGTACACACAGCACCCCATATTGACAGAAAAACACAGAATTTTTGACATTTTTGCAGATTTATTAAAAAAGAAAAACTGAAATATCACATGGTCATAAGTATTCAGACCCTTTGCTCAGTATTTAGTAGAAGCACCCTTTTGAGCTAATACAGCCATGAGTCTTTTTGGGAATGATGCAACAAGTTCACACCTGCATTTGGGGATCCTCTGCCATTCCTCCTTGCAGATCCTCTCCAGTTCTGTAAGGTTGGATGGTAAACGTTGGTGGACAGCCATTTTCAGGTCTCTCCAGAGATGCTCAATTGGGTTTAAGTCAGGGCTCTGGCTGGGCCATTCAAGAACAGTCACGGAGTTGTTGTGAAGCCACTCCGTTATTTTAGCTGTGTGCTTAGGGTCATTGTCTTGTTGGAAGGTGAACCTTCGGCCCAGTCTGAGGTCCTGAGCACTCTGG